TTTGCTGGATAGACGATTCTTGGTTGCATTTTGTATATGTTTTTCTTTTAGGGTTTTGTATATGTTTCCCCATTGCCTTCTTGCCTGCATGGTTTCTGCTTTGAATAGTCAGAGCTTAATCTGATTTGCATGCCTTTGTAAGTAACACTTATATTTTCCCTGGCTGCTTTTAGGATTCTTTCTTGTCTTTGATTTTAGAGAGCTTGGTTATTATATGTCTTGGTGACTTTCTTTTGGGGTCTGTCCTTCCTGGGGTACATTCGGCTTCTTGAATGTTTATCTTCTCATCTTTCAAGATGTTAGAGAACTTTTCTTCCAGAAGCTCTTCAGCTATCTTCTCTGTGGACTTCTCTGATTCTTCCTGTTCCGGAATGCCAATAATTCTTAAGTTGTTCCTCTTCATGTTATCCAAGATGAATCTTAGAGTTTCTTCAGTTTTTTGTTTTTAATTCTTTTTCTGCTTGCTTTTCTATCTTAGCAGTATTGTGCAATTTGTCTCCCAGCTCGCTGTCTCTGGCTTCCATCTCTTCCATTCTGCTCTTTTCCCCTTTCAGTGTATTGTTCCATTTCTGATATTTTATTCTTAATCATCTGTATTTCTTTTTGCAGGTTTTGAGTTGTTTCCAATGTTGTCTCAATCTTGTTTGATTGCTCTGTAGTACTTTCCTGACTTCTTCCTTGTTTTCCTCCACCCCTTTTTGAAGCATTTGAATTTGTTTCCATATCATTCTTCTGAATTCCTTTTCAGGCAAATCTAAAACCTGCTCTTCTTCTTCTGCGGAGCCTTTGTCTGACTCCAGCTCATTTGTTTCAGTTACTCTTTTCTGGTTTTGGACATGTTTTGAGATCATTTGTTGTGTTTTCTTGGTCATTTCCAGTAGTTTTAATGCTTAAATGGATGTTTGTTGTTGAGTTATTAAGCTTACTGGGTGTCTCTTGGTGGATATGATCAGGAGATAGGCTTCCTTTTTTGCATGTAATGCTTATCAGCTGTTATTGGCTCTTGTCTCAATGGTGGAATATTATGGGGTATGCTTGAGGCTTGGCTATATGGCCACGATTGTTGTCTCTTCTCAGGTAATATAGGAAGAAAAAGCTCCCACCTCCAGGAAAAATGTGTGATCAAACGGCCGAAAAGCAGAAGCAATATAAAAGCAGAAATGAAAACCACCAATTTGAACCAATAACAAAACTGTGGCCGACTGGCCAGTCACCTTGCTACATAGTGTGGGTGTACCATAGAAGCCTCTAGCAGTGGGTGAGGGTATTCACTCACTCAGGTCCCTCTGCTATTCACCACTGTAGATGTGTGCAGATAGATATTGAGTAGTTAATGGGAGAAAGTTTGTCTACTATTTTTGTCTCTGAAGGTCAGTTAGGTATCTGCTTGTGTGCAACATAATTCTTGATATAGTTGCATCCTTTTATGTTGGGTTGTACAGATTGTTAATATGGTTTGTCTGTCAAGCCTGATAGGCCTGCTCTTTTCTTGCTAGATTGGCCAGAGTAAAGGGTCCCACACAAGTTAATTTTAGGGCTGCGACCCAGAGGCTGACATCATAAGCATCTGACAATCTCTTTCTCTCTGTGCTGTGGGAAAACTGTGGGCTCAGCACTGGACTTTTTTTGGGGGTGTGTGCACCCACCTGCCTTAAGGCATCCAGGCTGGGCAAAGAAGGCACGACAGGGAAGAGAAGGAAAAAAATGTGTAGAATCCCCCCTCACCTCCTTTGGCAAATGTCACTGTGCTGCTTTTAGTGTGAGTTCCCTGTGCTGGTCTGGCTATAGACCCACCCTCTGAACTCTGCACGGGTGGGGTGGCTGCAGAGGGAGTCCCATCTCCAGCAATTCTTATTCACAATACTTTCCTTTATACCATGATTTTCCTACTTGCGTGTGCAGAAACTAATGCCCTGCACCTTATGTTGGATTCAGATCTCTAGTGTTGTTCCGTGAATACAGCTTCTCTGGGTTTTCAATCCCTCTACCATGGAGACTTACCTACCTGGTTCTGTCTCTGTCGCCACCAAAACCGCACTGTCCTATTCTTTATTTCTTAGCTATAGTATCTCATTTCATAATCTTCTTTTTAAAGAAGATATAAATGTCATAAATAAATGACAATAATAATAGTAATAAACAAAAGAGCAAGTCATGGCATCTGGGTTGTATCTTGCCTCTGACCACAGATGACCTTTTATGGCCAAGGCTAACTCGTGATATGGTCAATTTCTCAAGAAAGAGGTAGAGATTAAAATTAGCTCATATTGGATATCTTTTTTCTAGACAAAACTCCTTATTAAATTCTAGGTCTATATCTTCAGAATGAAACATTTTTCGAAGATGACTATTTGTAAGCAAGTTCTCTTATTACACTGTGATTATGCAGATCAATCAATGCAGTGTTTACAGATTTGGACATATAAAAGTCACCTTACCTATAAATGAATGGAGCGACTGTGGCAGTATTTGGATGACTATGTTGCTGTTGTTGAGGAAGTTGGACAGCACCATTTCCCATGCTCTGCCCACCGCTTTGTGTCACTGGCATGGTACAAGAACCAGAGGAAGCTTGGCTAGTTTCCCTGCCTTCCAAAGAAACAGGGTAGGTGGATGTGTTTGCTTTCTCAGTGGTCATAGGCTTAGGTATGGACTGGGAAGGACTTCCCTTGGTAGTCCTGAATTTTTCAGGCTCTTTGCTTGCTGTGCTTCCAGGTGAAACAGTTTGCTTTGCTGTTGGCACCTTTGAGCCAGGTTTTGGAATCCCACTAGAAGATGGGATTAAGCTTTCCTTCTTGGCTGTGGTTGTTTTGCTACCCTTTGGAATCAAGCTTGCAATCTTAGAGGTCTTTTTTGGAGCTGTTTCCGTCAACTGATCCTTCTCTTCCTTCACTAATTTTTCAGTGCAAACTTTACTTTTGTCCCTGTTCTTTTCCTCTTTTTCCTTTGGCTGTAGCAAAGACTTTTTATTGCTGAGGTTTTTGCTTCCAGCTTTTGGAGGGGCCAGTTTAGGTGATACTTTGGGACTGCTATTTGTTGAGCCACCACTGGTCAGACCACAATTAAAACCTTCCACTTCACCAGACTCAGAAAAGGCATCGTCATCCTTCCCACCATCGCTGGGACCTGAACTGGAAGTCTGCGAGGGCCGTAAAGCAGTCCGGGCATTGACCAGCTTGAATTTTTCAAGCATAGATTTCTGTCCTGAGGGAGCTGTTTTGGCCCCTTCTGTGACAGGTGGCTTCAGTCTCTCTGAAGATGGTGTGGGTGAGGTTGCTGGGCTTGACTGCTTTACGGTCAGCATGGTAGAGGTGGCACTGTGCTTGACATTCATGGACTTGCTGCGCCATGGCTTGCTGGCACTAGGAGAAGGGATGGCAGAGGCAGAGGGCTGCCCAGAAGTGCTGGGAGGCTGCATGTTGCCATTTACACCTGAAGATGGTTGAGGTCCTTTGGAGGAATCTGAACATTTTTAAAAAGAAAAAAGGAAAAAGGAAAAGGAAAAGAGGATTAGTTTTAATCATCTCTATTTCACCCTAAGTATCTCTTAGCTACCGAGGCACAGACGCATCTGAACAGAAAGCAGACCTGCTATGTAGCATCAACCACTTCAGTGATATAATTAGTTTATGTGTCACAGTTTAAAAAGAAAGAATGTTTAAAAGGCACTGATAATTTTTTTCTTCTTTTTTTTCCCCTCTAAAATAACCCCTACTTAAATGGACTTTGTGCAGGAGAAGGATGAGACTTTCTTTTTCCACAAAGACTTATAGCCTCAGAAACCCTATACTGGGTCACTATGAGCCAGAAGTGACACAACAGCACTTAATAACAACAACAAATGGGCTGTGCTAGCCACAAATACATAACAATAACAAAATTTGTCTCCTAAACCATTCTCCCCACACACACACACTTTTTTTTTAACGCCAGCTACCATTGAAGAACACACCAGTAAATGGATACTTCATATAGTTTGTAAAAGAAATACATTTTATAATGAATAATGAGACACTTCTTTAAATCACAGGGAAATTGGCTTATGCTTAGCTCATTAAATATGCTTATGAGTCATGGTTTATTTTTTTTGCTAATTAAAAAAAGATTATGTGCAAAAGAATCTTTAAAATATGTACCATGTATGTCAAATAATCTAACAAACACTTGTATATATAAATTAATCCATATAAATCACTATATAATCAATATAGAATTATGATATATAATAACTTATATATTCCATACAACACAATTGACCTTTAAACAACACTGGTTTGAACTGTGCAGGCCCACTTATACACAGATGTTTTTTCCTATTGTATTGGATGGCGCAGTAAAATAAGCATTGGACCACAATGTTGGTTTGAACCAATAGGTTACTTCCCACTCACAAGATGCTCCTCAGAAACCCTATCCAGGGTGGCTCTGAGTCTGAAATGACTCAATAGTACTTAACAACAACATTGTGGTAAGCTCAAGTGTTATGGGTATCCACTTTAAATGCTGAGTGATGCTAATCTCTATATGAGCAGTTCACGTGCTCTAGTTACAGGATGGAAGGTTGAAAGGATAGTAACACTTGAGCTTACTGCAATAGCAGTAAGAAAAAAAAAATCCTTGCATAAATTGGTCTGCACAGTACAAATCTGTTTTGTTCTGTGCTCAATTATATATCAATCCTTATAAAAACCCTATGAAATGTGTATTATGTTATTACTCCCATTTTACAGATAGAAAAATCAGAGGCAAAGAAAGACTAAGTAACTTGTTCAAGATCACACTGGATTTTAACTGATACAGGAGCCTAGGTGCTTAACCAACATAGCTACTGTTTCTTGTAGTGATTTGCCCAAACGTTAAATTTTAACACAATCTCAAGCCACTTACTGAGAGGAAAAGGGAAATAAAACCTTACTATAAGTACATTACAATGTACTTGTTGTTGTTGTTGTGTTGTCCAGTAGATCCCAACTCATAGTGACCTTGTATAGGATTCCCAAGAGGTGGCTGGTAGGTTTGAACCTCAGATCTTGTGGTTAACAATCTAGTGCTTATCCTGTAGTGACACACCAGGACTCCACAAGGCACTAGTATTTGCATAATTTCAGTTCAGAAAGCCCATTATAATATGTTGTTAAGTGCTATCTTTATATAACTGTTCTAACACTGATTAATGCCTTATGTTTAAGAAGGGGCTTTATAACAAGGTATAGAATGGAAAAGAACTGAATTTTCTGTCAAAAATTAACATTTGGGAGCTATGTAATGTTGGGCAAGTCATTTAACATAATCAGTGATTAAATACCTCCTTCGCTCATCCTCTTTTTATTTGGCAGAAAGGGGATTATAAAGTAAGTTAGTTAATGTACTATTGCTAGACTAGATAGTGACAAATTGATGTAAAGATATTTTTGATAAAATGTCCACTGGAAATCTTTTATAAAGGATATCTTTATTAATAATATTTACAGATTTCAAAAAATTCAGAATAGTTAGAAGAAATTGTAGCTCATTACATTTGTTGTTGTAAACTTCATTACATTTAGATAAAGATAAAGCTATATACATTGTCATTTATAATTTTTTCTTCAGAAAGTCATAAAAAAATAATAATATAGATTAAAGAAGCTGTCAAGGAATACTGGTCTCATCTATTTTTCCTAAGAGGAAATTGAGACTCAAAAAAGGAAATAATAAGGTTACAGAGAAAAAAAAGAGGTCAAATTGTTAGTTTAATGTTGAGTGAATTAGGCAGGTTTTACTTTTTTTGAAAATTATAAAATAATGCAATAAACATGTAACATTTATATGAACAGCAATAATATTCTAGACAAATTGGTATACTAATATTTACTTCTAGTTCTCACTACCATCTACAACTTCTCATTTCCAATTGACAAAAACCTTATGCGCTCAAAATTTAAATGTAAAAGGTCTCTGAAGAATTACAATGTTTACATGGTACTATTTATATTTTATAGCAACTAATGATAAGTTGACACTCTTTCCAGTTTCCAGGTAAAGTTACAATCCTAGATATCTGGGATATGTGTAGAAATTTGTTATGTTTGTGTGTAAACATTATGGTGTTCTGAAAAACAACAGAGTATTCACTAATTTAAAGGAGCTCTGGTAGCGTAGTGGTTACAAATCGGGCTGCGAACCTTAAGGTCAGTGGTTCCAAACTACCAGCCGCTCCGCGGGAGAAAGATGAGGCTTTCTGCTCCCGTAAAGATTTACACCCTCGGAAACCCTGTACAGGGTCGCTATGGGTCGGAACCGACTCGACGGCACTTAACAACAACAACAACAACAACATTCACTAATTTAAGAAAAGCAGGCTTCCAAGCCTTCAGTTTCTCAGATAATTCTACTTTTTGTGAAAGAATTTCAACCTTTGCTAAGGATCTAGGTTATGTTGCTCTTGTTTTAAGTGCTATCGAGTTGGTTCTAACTCATAGCAATCCAGTATAGGGCTTCTAAGAGCAGCTGATGGGTTTGAACTGCTGACCTTATGTTTAACTCACTTAGCAGTTCAGTGAGTATCATATAGTCTCACACTGTCTATATGAATAGTTGTAAATTTATTTTCCACACCGAACCTTTTCAGGGAATGTAAATACTTTGTCAGAAATTTAAATGGTTCTCACACATTGACTACATACTTATGGCAATGCAAACCAAATAGATCTCCAGACTTATTTCTACTTTGGTCTCATCTCAGTTTGATTTCACATCCTCTAGAGAGCAAAATGAAACAAAATTTAAAACTTCACCTGGAACCCTATGTTTGATCATCATAACATCAAGTCTAGATTAGGTGGCCCCTCTACATTTTTTTATAACTAAGTTTTCTTCTATTGCCACTATTATCACAGTGCTGAAAATATTTCCTCTACTACATAGTACACTCCTTGAAAGCAAAGACTATGCCTGTATTATCTATAGTTTTATATTTAACATCTAATGCAATGCCCAACAATGAACAGATGATTCTTCACATGACCCCAAGACCAAACCTACTGTCACTGAATCAATTCTGACACATAGCAACCCTGTAAGTCTGTAAGAAGCAGACAGCGTCATCTTGCTCCTGCTGAGTGACTGGTGGGTGTGAACCAAGTCTGCTTAGCCACTATAGCACACAAACAAACAAACAAAACCCTAAGTGTGTTGCTATTGAGTCAGTTCTGATTTATTACAACATTGTATAGGGTTCCCAAAGTTGTAAATCTTTTAGGGAGCAGACAGCCCCATTTTTCTCCAGCTGAATGACTACTGGTTTGAACTCCCAGCCTTGCAATTAGAAGTCCAGATCGTATCATCTATAGCTCCAGGGATCCTTATTGTTCACATAGAAGCTCCTAAATGTCATAAAATTATCTGGTTACCCAATGACAGTACCATTTTGGTATACTTACACTGCCACGGAAAAATGTACTAGGAACAAGCAAGAAAGTATGATGGTCTTGGACTAATAAAATGAGCAAACAATGGCCTAAAATATTGAAAACATCTAGGTGGACAACCCAGGTAAAGGTTTTGAACTGTATGAGGAGGCTTGAAGCAAGTTGTCAGAAAAATTCCATTATCCTTCCATTTCTCCCTGAAGTTTTTGATGCCCTTAGTGTATCACTTGCCTAGAAAGATACTTGCATTTGAAATGCGATTAGCAAAATGAGATAAACATTGGGCTGCTAACCCGGAATAGACTCAATAGCAGGAGGTCTGGTTTTTGGTTCTTTGTTGTTGTTGTTGTTGTTTTGTCTGGGAGTTGTCAAAGTCCCAACCATTCAGTCATGACTCCTTGAATGCCTGGAGCTTGTGGTTTATACCATAAAGGGTCTTTGATTTGGTTTGTAATTGAGACAGCCTGGTGTCTTTTAGATTGCAAGGAAGTAGGTCTATGTTGGTGCTCACGGCTTTCCTGGGCTACAGTGATACCATTCATAGAGGCTCAGTGGAACTATATGCATAGAAGCAGAATACATTCTCTTCACGTCCAATATATTTATGGAATATTTCTACATTTCTACAAGTAAAATAAATATATACATGTGAAACGCACCTTTCCCATAAAGCATTTTATTCATCTTCTTTGGTTTATCTCTCATGCTTACATTCTACAGTTTATATTCTGTCATTGGCTTCTTCTTTCTAGAGAAGGAATGATTCTGCTAACACTATGTGCCAGTATTAGATTTATTGTTAAATGCCATCAACTTGGTTCTGAGTCACAGTAACTCCGTAAGGATTTCTGAAGGAGCAGTTGGTTGGTTTGAACCACCAAACTTGTGGTTAGCAGTCTAGTGCTCATTCTACAGTTAAAGACTTCTGAAGTCTATTTGTTAGCTATTAAAAACAAAGCAAAACAATACAAACATTGCATCTAATCGATTCTGATCCATAGCAACTCTATTTGTGTCTGAATAGAACTGTGTTACAAAGGGCTTTTTAATGAT